AATTATGTATATTACCTTCTCTGTCAGCAGGCCATGTTTCTACACAACTCACCTGAAGGTTCCTCACTCCAGCCTGGAGGTGGCTAGAGATGCCTGTCTATCTGTGCCTTGCACTAAAATACCTACACTTGAAAAAGAGGTTGGATTTCAGACTTACCCAGGTCATTGATAATCACGTTTCTTCTGGAAAACCCAACACAGGATAATAAAACCCAATATGGGCTTCTATGAAGCCCAGGACTGTCTTCTTACCACAGTAACCCAACCACTGAGATAAAACCAACAGTGTTTCAGACCACAAAACCAAATTATTCACATGGGCAGGCAGGTGGAGCAGTGGGGTTTAGATTACACATCTCAGCCGGAAAAAAATTATTGTAGCACCCCTGAAAGAAAGAGTTATAGCAATGTACAGAAGCTGGAATCCTGGCAGGAGTCTGGTTTGCAACACCCACTAAAAAAGTAGCAATGTGTTGCTCATTATAGGACTGTTGCAAATGTAATTTGTTTTAAAATCACACAGTTAAAAAGCTAATCATTGCAAAGGCTGAAGTTTCTGCACTACAGAGATATTTTGTGTGTGTGTGTGTGTGTGTGTGTTGCTGTGTTTGGTTTGGGGTTTTTTTTTAAAATGTATGCCCTAAAACATATACTGGCATCATGACCAGGCTGATGTTCCTGAAAAAAAAAAAACCCAAGCTTTTATTCCTGATCATGAAGATTAACGGAAAGCCTGGGCAGTGATCTATATTTAAATGTTGCTTTTGTGCTAACTAAGCAAAATAATAGAACTGGAAGAGAAACATGTGCCTGCATCCAGGAAAAGGGGGAGAGTTACAATTTTTACCTATGTAGAGTAGAAAGAAAAAAATATAATAAACTGAAGGTTTTCACCATGGTTATTGCAGTGACAGCTACCTTTTTTCTCTAAACAAACAGTAATAAGGAATTATATTATGCAGACCAGCTGTGAAGATAATGAATGCAGTGCAATGCAATACAGTGTAAAACTCTGGAGACTATGTAATTATTTTGAGAAAGTATTGTCATCTATTACTCTCCCTTCAAAACGTGGTCTCATTAAGTTATTCTTTTATACAGTTTCATAATTGAAATCTACATGAACAATAAATAATATTGGTTATGCAACATACCATGAGCAGCATGTTAAAAAAAGACACTTAATTGTTAAGAAGCTGTAATAAAAAAAAAAGTGTGGGTGGAGTGCAGAAAGCCCAAGGTAATAATAAGAATCAATTAATCCTCTGCCCCTAAATTCTGGCCTCATTCAAATAACTTCATTTGTATAATGCAGTGGAGCTAATGCACTTATGGACCAACATTAGCTGGGATTTTATTTGCACCTTTAGTCAAGAACCTTATAAAAATATTGCAATTTCTAGTGCAGACCCTTGATTTTGTACAATAAAATCTGAATTGGTTTCTTTCATCTCCCCACACTTGAAGGTACCGGTTCCATTCCCCTCACACTCAATGTCATAGCTCCAATGACTTCAGTGCTGCAGAAAAAGTGCTTCAGCACCAAAAGGCTGAAATACTCAGGCCACAGAGATCAGTACCTCATTCAAGTTGAATAGATAAACCAGATTGTGTTTTTCTAGCCATATCTGTAGCCTATACTTTGAAGAAATACAGATTCATGTTAAAGTCTGATAATACACTACAGAACTCAAAGATACATTGTTGTCATAGTAAATAGATAAATAGATAAGTAAATAAGCAAGGGGAGAACCTCCTCCATGTTGCAGGGGAAAACTGTGAATCAGGACTTAAATTATAAGAAGCTGACTCAAAGGAAATAGAAATAGCATAAGAAAAGATGAAAAGACTAGAGGTATCATCTGCAAGAATCTTAAATTCTATTCTAATATAAAAATCTTTCTACATGAGTATTAGGCGACAATCGTAAAATAAATAAATTAGTGGAAGATGTATAACAGTAAATGATGCCATACAAACTCATCTCTTCCTGGTGTTCCTGTATTTTTGTGATACAGCTAGTTTTGATCTTTACAAATTTAGGATGAATACTGAAAAAAAATGCATCCAGAGAAAATGCAGAAAGAAAAGCAGCATGACTGAGGATGTCAGATACATTAAATTTGTTAAGGAGGAAAATCAAACTATTTTATTTTGCTAGGAATACAGACTGTATATTAATTTGGTTCACAATTACTCTATGACTGTTGGTATATAATCCAAAAAAGACCAACAAAGAAGACATAAAAGATATTGTAGAGAACAAAACAGCACACAGAAGACAAAGGGCATTTTCCATAACATTTTCTACCAACATTAATTAAACTAACACAAGCTGCAAAACAAAATTTTTATGAAGATCCCGTTGTACAGCAAAAAGGATTTTTGGCACATTTGTACCACTGGTTAATACAGATGAAGCAGAAACATGGGCATTCTCCAAGGATATCAAGTATCAGCTAAAAGCTGAGCTGTAAAACATGAAAAGATTTATGCACAGAGTATTGCTGGAACCATATCAAATCCTGCAAGGTCTTAGTTCTAGTACTTGAAGAAGGAGCCCTTGAGTATCTCAGACATAATAAAAATAAGACTACAGCCCCACAAGTTCTGCCAAGTGAATTCTAGCATGGTCCTAGCATCACATAGGAAAAAATGGAGACTATGAAAATGAACAACAGAGTAATCAAGGTGAAAGACATCTTGGAGACTGTGAATAAGCAAGTGTAAGAAAAAAATGTAAATGTAAATTATCACTAATCTACAGTACAATGTAAACCATCAGAGACGATAATAAGAGCTTTCACTTAGAAGCTATATGAATAAGCTCTGTACTATTTTCCATGCAATGCATAATACAATGTAATAACAATGAACATTGCGGGAACATGTTACATCTCTTACAATTATTGATGTTGTCACACTATTCCTTTAATGGAAGTAAGTTAAGCATGCTTCTAGATATTTGAAGTCAAAGTCTTGCATTACTCATTGCTCTCTTGTGCTACAGGTTAGCGATCCTTTTTACCTAACAGTCAAAATAAAAATTGCTCATATCCTCTATCAGAATGGAAGAAAAATTTCCATGGAAAATGAGTTCTATGTCCATTACAGTGACACATACAGTCACACTGCCTGCCTTTGAAACTATTTGAAAAGTTTTGGTTCCTGTTCCTTCACCCCTCACCTTTGGGACAGAATGCATTTCCACTGTTTTTTTCAGGAATTACACCCTCTTGAAGGGAGAAGAATTGGGTCTTCCTGATATTTTTATTTTTTGTTGTTTTTTCAAAGTCAATTTTCCAAAGTCCTTAAATTGGTCTTTAATCATAAATACTTCTATCAGATTCCATGGAACTACTAGAGTACTTATTCTATAATCCATATTCTAAAATACTTTGCTGAAACTGAATTGGGAGGCAGAGTTCAAAATGTCAAATCACATTTAACTTATAGCACTAGAAAAAAAATCCTTTCTCAGCATTCTGTGACACTTTAGAAAGGCATAAAAGAATATGTAAAACAATTATATTCTTTCAACTAAGTTGACCTTTTCTTTTTGTCCATTATTATAGGTTTTCTGTATTTTCTGTACTATTACGATCCACTGAAACTAATATTTGTTATACAGATACTGAAATTACCTAATATCCTAACTACTTCTGAGCCTGACCGCATGTCATCTAGGGATCCCTACTTAATATACATGTGTTCCTTACTACTAATGTATAAGACTTCAAACAGTTGCCTGAATGAATGCCCCTAAAGCAACAAAGACTGTGAAAAAATGAAGCAGCTATTCTACAAGCAATAAGAGATTGCTTTTTTCTGAATTAGTTTGGCATTCCAAACTGCAATGTATTTACTTTTTTTGAATGTGTGCAAATTAATAAGAAACGCTAGCTCACTCCAGCAGTTTGTCTTTTCCAATGTCTTCCTTTTGACATTGCCTGGTGCAAGATGCACAGGACACAACAAAAAGAAATTAATAAATAATAAATCCAAGAATATTTTGGAAGAAATTAGAAATAATCCTACAACAGGAACATTTCTTTTTATTCTCAAGAAAGAAGCATTATTCTCCAACATGATGTACATTCCCCACATATGTACCAAATATCACTTATACTTGAAACAGGTTTGAACTGATCACTTTAATCCATGTGAAAGTCCTTAGTTTCCCTGTTTCTTCCTCTGGTGTAGTTAACTGTATCACAGAAAGAAATCCTTCGCTACGATTTGAAAGCAAACTGAACTCCTCCATGTGCGTTTAGTTGAAGTATAGAGACAGAAAGGGAATACAAAGATTTGTTTAAAAAAAAATAGCAAAACACCAAAACACAGCAAGTTACTGCCACCTTTGAAACTTGAGTGAAACCAGCAGTAGTAACACACCTCACTTGCAAAAAAAACCGAAACTACAGCCTTTTCCAAAATCTCAGTCTTCTTTTAGTTTGAATGCCATTTTGATTTCCTTTAATTTTAGGCACAAAACCTTTAACTGGAAAAAATGTGTCTAGTCTTTTAAACTGGTACCAACAGATCTCAGATCCTCATTTAGCAAAAGTTACACATGTGCTTAATTTCATCAACTTTGAGTAGTCCCACTGTGGTACTTAAATATATTTTATATTGTGTAGAGGCAAGTATATGCATAAATTATTACTGAATGAGGACCTTTGCTCTTAACACAGCTTTGAAATTGTGCAGTTTTCTAAATTTTCCACAGATCTACAAGTAAAGGTGCACCCAAAGTGTTCTCATAAAATTAAGACAGAAGTTGGAAGATGTATTTAACTATTATAGTGATGATTAACAGCTGTAGTTTATTAGTCTCAGAGGAACTTACAAAAATTCCACTAACTTCCACTTATTCACCAAATTCTTTGCTCCAATTCAAAGAAAAAATGGGGAATTTTTCTACTAGCATCTCCAGATGCATCTACTAGGATCTCCAGATCCTTATAGGGTATTTTAATTTCTCTTTTTCTTGTTTGAAGGACCATGGGTTCTTCTGTTTCATGAATGTCAAAATGATTTGTCACCAGGTTCCAGTGCGAGAACTTACACACTGCCGACAGGATGTCAGTCTGTCCGAGCATCACTCTGGTAACACAAAAAGTCTTGCAACCTGCTCTTTTACTGAGTGTTTAATGAACCCTGAAAGTCCTTACTCATAGGCCTGAATCTGGCTGATGATTACCTTTGTGATTTATTCAGTTATTTATTAATAAAGGGGGAGGGATGCCATGCAAATGTTCGGTGGATGAGGGCAAAGGCAGTTGTCTGGTATTTCCTCTACGAAGCAAAGCACAGGGAGACGCAAAGACTGGAGAAAATAGTCCACTGTCTGAAGAGTTACTGCATCCCCAGAGCCGCTGAGAATGGGGAGGGGGTGGCTGGCTTCCTCCTGCAGGCATTTGACTGGCCATAGAGTGCGTTTTTCAGGGGTGATGTAAGAAAAATTAAACTTGAACAGCCAAACACACCCCACACCTCAACCATCCGTTTCTCCTGCTGCGAAGGGCGAGAGAGGTGGCTGAGGAGCACACCGAGCTCTCTCCTGCCTTACTGGGAGGGGGGCTGGCCGGCGGGAGACACTTATTAATTCATTGTGAGCGGGCAGATGTCCCTTTAAGGTCTGCTGTGCTCTCGCAGGGCTGCAGCCGGAGGTTTGGGGGGCGGGAGAGGGGGGTTAGATTTGGCTTTATTTGTACATCTTAGCGCTGGGCTAGTTCTACGGGGAGGTTTCCAAGGCTCAGAGGTCTTTGAGGGGTGGGCGGGAGGAAAGTTGTGTGCGGGAGGAGGAAGCTAAATTCTTCTTGATGCGAAGAAACAACGTAAAGACCGAATAACAAACAGGAAATGCCTAACTCGGCTGCGAGGCGGACGGGCGGCGCAGAGCGCTGAGCTCCACTCGCAGCGCAGCACCGCACCGCGCCGGCGACAGGACCGCTCCCGCCGTCCCTGCCCTCGCCCCGGGCT